AATATATATTCATGTAATATAAATTGAACTGCGTCACATATTTGATTTAAAAAGAACTGATCCGACGTGCAACGTCTGGGATAATAGCTTCGACATTGCTCTATTTATTGAACAATTTAATTCATGCCCCATCGACTGAAATAAAAAACTACTACAACAAAAGAATTCTCCAATTACCATATTAGTAAAAAAAAACGCACTCTCTTTTAAATTTCCAAAAAATTCAACCTTAGCGTTGCGACCGCACGCTCCATAATTTCTTACAGTTAACAATAACACATTTCTAAAAAAAACATATTTTGATTCACATCTAATCTTTCGTGTCCCGTTATTACCTGGATGTATTAAAAAAATAAATCAATTTCCATGGCTGATGATGTCTGTATGAACAGATGAAAGTACTAGCAAAAAAAGACCTGATACAAGTTGAATTTATTAAAAACAAGGATCACAACATCTAGATGTTCGTAGGTTAATGCAATTTTAATAAATTTGTTTACGAATATGTATTCTCGCCATTTATATCATTAATTTCACTAATCTGTTTTTTGTATGAATGATTCATGTAATATATATATATAAGTTGCCACCAGTATTAATAACATTTACAGGCCTGAATGTCCGAGAAATTTTCATAGAAAATATCAGGAATCGAACCTGTATCCTATACGGAACCGTCATATAGCCTGACGTGACTTTCACCGTTTTAGCCACAGAGGAGCGTTCGCTTAGCTAGGTTGAATTTACTGCCTTTAAACTACAATCTTCCATGATTCTCTCACGTACATTCATATCTGCTCAATGCGTATCCAAATGTAAACAAATGACGTCACACATTATGAAATGGACAAAGTCCGAGAATTATTTTTAAGACTGTTTTATTTTTATACATTCTTTTTATAGATATAAATATTTAAGTAAATGCTCTGTTTATATTAAACAGCATTAATATATATATATATACACGAAAATCCTGTGCCTCCAAGCAAATATCTGTTTATTACATAATTCTAGAATAGAAAATGCTTAGGATCCACAAGTAATGATACTGTGACAACCTTAAAGCTGTTAATGTTTCACACAGACGAAAAAATTATCATATATATATATATATATATATATATATGTATATATATATATATAATTATTATTTATAAAAAAATTATAACATATGTTATAAAATCACTACAAAAATAGCCATTTTGTTTCAACACACTCGGTGTCTTATCAAGTGATGATGTTGAAGATAATATATATATATATATATATATATATATATATATATATATATATATATATATATATATATATCAGTCTCTTCTTATCCTAAAGTAAACATTTTGCTTTGACATTTAACTTGAATTTATTTTCCTCAACTTGACTAATAGATTTTTCTGGATAGAAGTTTAACACAAGTTTTCAAATCTAATGTCTCGCTATAAAAAAAAAAAAAAACAAATAATAAAAACTAAATGAAAATTTCTCATCCATTTTAAAAGTTAATAACCTTAAGGATCAATCCTCCTATTTATCAGAGAATGATAGACAATTTCCTAACAGATGAAGAGGAGAATTGATGCAACACATATATCTCTACATCCTCCGAATACAATTGACAGAGCATATAAATAGTGTAAAATAGATAGATAGATTGATAGATAGATAGATAGATAGATAGATACGAATTGACTGAGAGAGATACATACATACATACATAGATACATACATACGAATAGATTTAAATAGATAGACTGATAGATACATACATACATACATAAATACGAATATACTGAGATAGATAGATAGATAGATAGATAGATAGATAGATACGAATTGACCGAGAGAGATACATACATAAATACATACATACATAAATACATAACATACGAAAAGATTGAAATAGATAAACAGATAGATAGATACATACATACATACATACATACATAAATTGACTGAGATAGATAGATGCATACATACATAAATACATACATACGAAAAGAATGAAATAGACAGATAGATACATACATACATACGAATAGACTGAGATAGATAGATAGATAGATAGATAGATAGATAGATAGATAGATAGATAGATAGATTTAAATAGTGACTAAAAGGAAAATTTGCTTAGGATACACGCACACACACACACACACACACAGATAGATATATATATATATATATATATATATATATATATAAATAGAGAGAGAGAGAGGCAATTCGTAAGGAAAGAAGGCTTGGAGAATCTGGCATCCACAGGTCTCATTGAACGCAAGCAGGCTAGAAGGAAATAAGGTGTAACCTACTTAAGTATCCTGGTCAAATGGATGCCAAAGAACTGAATTGGAACGATAAGAAGCAGGCAAAGCTTACTCTGAGAAAGGAAAAACAGGAAATGGTTGCCCACGTTTAAAACGGACAAATTTGATTAAAAAAAAATCACAAGGACACCTTTGAAATAGATATTGATATCTTATTTGACAATCATAAGCAAAAA